TAAGGTGTTCCTAAAACCAGTAACCCACAGATGGCTAGCTTTGGGAGAGATGCTGGAGGTCTTCTGTGCCCTCTGAGGCCACCAGGCCATGAACTCCTACAGGACAGATTGTGCCTGGCCACCCTGCCCCTAGTGCCTATCCAGGGCCTGGCACAGAGTAGGTGCTCAGTAAATGCTTGCTGGCCTGCGCAGAGCACCGTGTCCTGGCCCAGGGGGCCCTGCGTGCTCCAGGTGATGAAAATGCATGGGTATGTGGGCCTGAGGACACAGCCCCCCACCCGTTGGCTATTTCTGGTCTCCTCGTCCACCATCCAGCTACAGCACAGTGTCCTGGAAAGAAGACTCCAACAGACCCAGCCCGAATCCTGCCTCTGCCACTTTCCAGCCTTGACTTTGGAGCCTCTGTTCCTCATCTGCCGTGAGAAAGGTCAGTGAAGCCGCCAGTTGCTGGACTTACTAGGATGAGATGAGATAGTGCATGCCCCCCTCCAGAAACATGGTTGGGATCTGGACTCAGATCCCCGCCCTATTGTGTGTCCTTCAGGTCTGTCCCCTAACCCCTCTGGTCTCAGGGGCTTCCTCTGGACTGCAAGGGCTGGGTGGTCTCTGGGTCCCACAAACCAGGCTTTCTGCCCACCCTGCCCCCACGGCCCCATCTGGGTGACCAGCCCGAGCCTCTTCAGCAAGGGAGCCCTTTCCCAGGCTGTTCCCTTCTCATAGCTGGAGCCTGCGGCAGGGCAGGGCCTGGTGTCCACCAGGCAGGGGGAGGGCAAGAACCAACTGGAAGCCCTGTCTCTCTGTGGCTGACGCAGGTCCCAGCCTTGTCCTTGCCATCACTCCCAGGCTACAGCTCCTAGGAGGGTGGGGATCCAAGGAGATGGAGGCAGCAATCTCACTGACCAACTGACCAACAGACAAAGACAGACTGCCCTTTCCAAAGTACATCCACTTCCTTTGTCATTTGGCATTCACCCATCACAAGGCCCCACCAGGATCCCCCAAGGCAGGATCAGCAGGACAAGTATTATTTCCATTTCACAGGGGAGGTGAGGGAGGCCCAGAGGGGGTTAGTAAATGGCAGCGCCAAACCAAGCCCTGGGCCCTGCCTCCCATCCAGCGCTCTTCACTCTCTGATGGACTAGTGCAAGAGAGGATGCACGCAGGGAGGGAAGCTCTGGGGCTGACTGCTCCAGAAATCATAATCTGTGTTGGGTCTGAGGCTGCGGGCTGCTCGAGGGTCCCTGCCCTCGAGGAGTAGAATCTTGGGAAGAAAAGAAACACTGGGAAACAATTAGAGCACAAAGAATTGGGACATGTGAGGTCTGCAAGCACTAGAGGGGACATGGGAAAGCTTTCTGGAGGAGAAAGCTCTTGAGATGGGGCTCGAAGGATGAGGATGCTTTCAATTGAAGTAGAAGAAACTCAGCTCCACTTGAACAACAGAAAAAGAGCAGTACTGGTTCATCCAGGTATTCATGGAGTGATGGCTCTGCCAGCCTCCTTCTCTGGCTGTCTCAGCTCACACCCCCTGGAGGTGACAGCTCCCAATATTCACTCTCAAGGCTTAGAAGCCCCAGTGACCAGAGGGAATGTTATCTCAGTAGGTCAGAGCAAAGTTTCAGGATGGAGTGGGTGGTGTGTTGGACCCCAGGTCTGCAGCAGGTGATGTAGAGAAGGTATTGCCCATAACAGATGGGTGGGGTCTGGATGGGGGAGAACAGGAGGGGGCACATTTCACCCGCTGAGGGTTTGGCCAGAGGAGAATTGAAGAGGAGGACCAGCCTTGAGGAGCTGTGGACAGGAGGCAGGAGGTCTAGTAGACCCACTGACCTGTGCGAGAGACCTGGGACTTGACCCCAAGGGGACAAGGCGGGTAGTAAGAGGGTCCTATCAGGTGCAAGGTGATTGAGGAAACTTCAGATTTGAGCTTATATCTGCTTCCCAGCTATGACCTTGGGCAAGGCATTTTAAACATTTGGGCTCAGTTTCTTCACCGGAAAAATGGGCACAGTAATAGTTACCTGGAAGGGCTGCTGTGGGGAGTAATATGACGTGGCCTGTAGTTGGTGGTCAGCAAGCCCTGGAACTTGCTGGTTCACAGAGCACTTTCACAACATTATCTCACCCCTCACCACAGCTCTGAGGGTTCCCAGGGCATGGTCAGAGGGGAGTCCAGCAGGTTCAAGCCAAAGTCATAAAGCTGGAAGGTGACAGAACTAGGGTGTGTATTCAGGTCAGATCCTGAGCTGGTGTCACAACACCATGCTGGATGGATCAAGGTGCTGAGGGGTGTGTGTCACCCAGAGTCCCCTAATTGGCCCTCCCTTCCCCTGGAGCCCACCGGAGTTGCCCCAGGTGGGCACCAAACCTGCCTTGGGCCCACCACTGACATCCACCCCAAGCAGCCTCTTAGCACCTTAGCCCATGTGAGCCCCAGCTGAGCAGATGGAGAGTCTTCTCCTTGCTACCTCTTGGATCTTTCCAGCTTCCAGAGGCACCCTTTGTTTCCTTACTCCAGGCCTGGGCTGGTAGAACCACAGTCCATGCTTAGCACAGCTTAGTCTGGTACATCCATCCAGGCCTACCCATTCCTGAGGACACCTATGAAATGCTCCTTTGGTCCCAGAGCAAAGCTGTACCAGCGTTCAAGGGGCAGCCTTCCCAAAATCAGGGTTTTCTGTAGTATAATCAGTCCCCTTACAAATGCCACCCAGCAGTGAAATATCCTCTCTGGCTGTAAGAGTAATCTATCTTCATCTATCTACCCATCTTCTGGTCTATCTCGAATAGAATCAGACTGGGCTTTGAATAATAAAGACCCCACTTAACAAAAGCCAGAGGTCTATTTTTCTCATAAAAGTCCTGAGGCAGGCAGTCCAAAGCCAGTTTGAAGGTTTTATGCAGTCCTCAGAGACCTAAGCTCCTTCCAGCTCACTGCTCCTCCATCTTGTCTTCATGGTCCAAAATGGCAGCCAAGAGTCCAGCCATCACAGCTGCATTTCAGGCAGTAAGACAGAGGAAGGATAAAGAAGAAGGAGGTGAATGGTACATGCTAGTTTACTTTTTTTTTTTTCTTGGTACTTTACTTTTAAGAAAGATTCCTAGGGCTTCCCTGGTGGCGCAGTGGTTGAGAGTCCACCTGCTGATGCAGGGGACACGGGTTCATGCCCCAGTCTGGGAAGATCCCACATGCCGCGGAGCGGCTGGGCCCGTGAGCGATGGTCGCTGAGCCTGCGCGTCCAGAGCCTGTGCTCCGCAACGGGAGAGGCCACAACAGTGAGAGGCCCGTGGACAGCAAAAAACCCTGGTGGCGCAGTGGTTGAGAGTCCACCTGCTGATGCAGGGGACACGGGTTCATGCCCCAGTCTGGGAAGATCCCACATGCCGCGGAGCGGCTGGGCCCGTGAGCGATGGTCGCTGAGCCTGCGCGTCCAGAGCCTGTGCTCCGCAACGGGAGAGGCCACAACAGTGAGAGGCCCGTGTACAGCAAAAAAAAAAAAAAGAAAGATTCCTAGAAAATGACACATGACACTTCTACTTAATCACACATCTAGCTGCAAGGGAGTCATGGGATACTTTTAATTCCAGGTAGCCAAGTTCCCAGGTGAAAAGTAGGGCTTGTTTACAGAGGAAACTGGACATTGGGGTTAACTATCTCTGATACCCCATCCCTTCAATAAGCATTTATTGGATACTCCTTGTATTTACCCATGTTATAGTACTAATATGATTAATACCTTAGTATCTCATGAGCTATGAACAGTGCCTAGCATATAATAATTGCTCAGTGGCCATTAGTATTACTGCATCAGAGTGCTGATATAAGCACAAGCTTCTGTGAGAGTGGAGAGGAGGTCCCACCTGGGAATGTAGGAGGTCTTTCTTTTTGCTTGATCCTGGAGGGCTGGGATGGTCAACTGTAGCCACTTTAGGACCTTGTGTTACCTCCCTGACCTCCATCCCATCCCACCTCAACCTTCTCTGGGGAACGACTCTGATAACTCTGATAACACCTAAGCATAGGCTCTCCAGGGTGAAACGTGCAACCATATGTTGGAGAAATTTGGCATCGGTTAAGGTGAGGGGGCTAGTTCTGAAGACCCTGGAATCTTCCTGAAGCCCTAGAATACTCATACTGTAGGCAGTCACACAATTACTTCTGAAATTGGAAAATAACACTAAAACGCCTCCATCTGACAGCTTGGGGGTTGCAGATGCTCTGCGCCCTTCTAAGGTGATCCAGAGGAAGGAAATGCCAGACTCTGCCCTCCGGGGACAACCCTCAACACAGGGCAGAATGAGGAAGAAGCTGAGAGCTCAGCTACACGGCCTTCCTTGGACTGGTGGAGGTGGAGGAGCCTGGGCAGTGGGTGCCTGGGCTTGGGTACCTCCTTCCCTCCCGCTACAGGGACTGTGGAGAGCAAGCTGCTGCTGGCTGACCGCCACTCTGGGCCTGGGAAAGTGAGCTACCAGTCCTTCCTGAGCACCAGTGTATGACAGGCCTGTGCCAGGCCTGTGGGGCACAGAGAACATGGGGTGGGTGAGCCCATGAGCCTCAGTTCCCTTTCCCCAGGGTTCTCTGAAAGCTCCCTCCATCCCTGACCTGGGGAGCCAGATAACACCTCCTCCAGGAAGCCCTCACTGATTTCCCTTGCCAGGTGCCCACCCTCATTGTTCTCCCACAGCCCTCCACTGGGCTTTTTCCAATGCTGCTTGCTCAACTGTCCCCCACCCTTGGCTGATCCCTCTCAATATAGCCCCAGTGCCTTGCACATGAGATGAGCTCTGTAGCTATGCATCAACTAATGAACGAGTGAGTGAATGAACGAATGAGTGAGTGAGTGAGTTCCCTGGCTGCCAGGGTGTGGGTCCCCAGCAAGGAGGCAGAGGCCTGCAAGGGTTAACCAGGAGCCCGCCTGTAGTCTGAGGTAAGCAGGGAGCATATTTGTTCAGGTAAATAAGGAAGGATTACTTATAATGGGAAATCAGGCCCCGGCCAACTCTTCATCTCATGCTGCCTGACTTCCTCCCAGCACATTCCTGCACTCCGCCCGTGTCCACACTGCCCCGCAGACCCAGTCCCCTGAGCCCACCGTGGCCTCCCTCGTAAGCCCCACTGGCTGGGTCTTGCTGTGGTGCCAGCAGGTGGCCCTGGGCTGGGGGCAGGGGGCTCCCTACAAGGGCACGCAGCCCTGAGACCTCAGAGGGCCACACCTCGAGGGTGGCCAGGCCCCCAGCGGCCCACCCGATTGCCATCTCTGACCCCAGCCCTGCTGGCCCCTGGTACCACTGGCCCCCCAGATGCCTGGCTGAGACCCAGCAGTGGCCCAAGCTGCCCACGCCTCCTCCTGGCCCCCGAGGTTGGCACTGCAGCGGACGACTCCTTGGGTACCAGGCAGCTAACGGGTAAGTCTGGTGGGGGGCAGTGCCCTGCCATGGGGGCCTTCCCCTGCCAGCAGTGGGGAGGTGGGTGGTTGAGGGTGCTTTTAAAGCCAGAAGTGGTCTCCTGGACATCAGTGACCCTGATCTGGGTCCTTCACCTTCAGAAGCCCCTGATCCCTCTGCATGCTGCCCAGTCTGCCTCCCTGAGCTAACCCCAGAGCCTGGGTGAGCCCCCCTGGCCTGGAGAGGCCTGGGGTACCCCACGTCTGTGATGACCCCATCTGGGCTCCACATTGAGCCCAGCCTTGTCCAGCCTGAGGGGAGGCAGCTTTGTAGGTGCGGAGCCGCAGCCCTGAGACCGGGCCAGTTCTGCTTGGCTAACGAAACACAAGCAGCCTTCCTGCTGCTGCCAGCCACAGCTGCTCTGCCAAGGGAAGGGTCTCTCTGGGCCCTAGTCACGAGTTGGCAGGGGTTTGCTGGAGCCTAGAGGCTCAGGGCCAGGGCCAGTGTCCAGGTTGCAGCAGGGGGTACAGTCCCAGAGCCCAGGAGCTGGGTGGGGCAGTGGTGGGCACAGGAGCCAGGGGATCTGGGAAGCTGGGGAGTAACCACCTGGGTGCTTGGGTCCCCAGGGAAGCGTGGGGTCTGTGGACCGGAGTCTGGGCACGTGAGGAAAGCAATGTGTTGGGGGGGGGACAGAGGTGCTTGAAGGTGCTCATTTCTAGATTTGCCAGATGCCTCCTGTGGGGAGAGAGGGAAGTGGATGGTGAGGATGACAGGGTAGAAAGCTGAAGGGTCTGGATGGCTGGGGGCTCCCCCTAAGCTGGACAAGGTGTGTGCATGCGTGCGTGCTTGTGCATGTTGGGGAGGGGGAAGCACCCTGAGCTAGTCCCGGGCCTCTCACCTCGCTGCCCTCTGGGCCCAGCCAGCAGCCCGCACCCAGGCCACAGGTGTCGAGTGGCCTGTCCCCTGTATGATGGTCATGGCCTTTCTGCTCCTTCTTGCTTAGGCCTGGGACTTCACCTCATTTCCTGCCCCCACCTCCCCAATAAACGGCTTCACAGCAACCCCCAATAAAGCAACATCTCCCCGCACCAGCTGCTCAGCTGAGTAACAAAGCAAACAGGCAGGCTGGCCTGGCTGCGCCAGTCCCAAGGTGGCGGGCAGGGATGGGCAGGAGACCCCCCACCAGACGGGGGTGCCCAGGCCACGGCTCAGCCTGGCTGGCCAGTCCCACTCGACCCCTGCCCACCTGGGGGAGGGGTTGGAGCCAGGAACTCCCAGCTTGGAGCCTCCCCACCCCCAACTCAGGGAACTTCGGGGAGAGGGAGCATCCTAAGAGCCCCCAGGGAGGTTGGGGTGGTCTCTCGTGGGGTGCGGGACCACCCTCCCCTTTGAGAGCCTGACAGGCGCTATGAGGGTCCCAGAGCTGAAAACTCAGTCCCTGCCAGACTTGGTTATTGTATTACTGATTATAAAACACATTGGCAGATGCGATGTCACTTGGTTGTCACAAGGACCCTCTGAATTATAGAACTTCTCTTGTCAACCGAGCCTGAGAGAATAGGGTGGCACTCAGTAGATGCTCAGTCAATGCAGAATGTGTGATGCTGGCACTAAGTAGAAGAACCAGGAGAACCCACTGTCTGCCACTGAGGTCACTGCAGTTAAAACATTAATAACCCTGAAACAACTAGAGCACAACTTTGTGCTAAACGACTTGGTGCAGCTTGAGTATAACCTGGGAACAAGGCCCTCTGGTGGAGGGCAAGAAGGGGCGGGTTAGGACCCACAGTGTGTGACCCTAGGCAAGTCACTTTTCCTCCCTGCACTTGCAGCTCCTTGTCTGTGAAATGAGAGGGTTGGACAAGGTGGCCTCCTTTGTTAAAGGAGGCTTCATGGAAGAGGCAACCTGGAGTGGGGTTTTGAAGGCTGTGTAGGAGCTGGTGGAGGCAGGCAGGCTGTCTGGATTTGCCAGCTTTACAAGACTTCTGTGCTTTCCCAGCCTTGTCTCCTAGGCTGAGGTCAGGGGAGGTAGGGGACTCTGGCTCTGGCTCCTCCTAGAGGCCAGGGAGGAGTGAGTGGGGCCAGCAGCTGCCCTGGTCTGGGCTAGAGAGCAGGCTGACCTCAGAGCAAGGTCCAGGCCTCTCCCACCACCGTTTTCAGCTCTCCCCCAGGCTCCACCCTTTGGCCCTGCCCCTCCCTCCACCATCACCACCTGCTTCTTCCTTTATTCCCCTCACTCTTCACCTTATTACCTTTCCCTCCCCTCTTCTCCAGCCCCATCCCCTCACCTGCTCCCAGGTGCCACCTTCATGCCTGCTCAGCCCATCATAATTCACAAGGAATTACCATTTGCCCTCCCCCTCAATCACCACAACCCCTTTAAGACATGCTCTTGACAGACAATTCAATAGATGGGACAACTGAGTCTCTTGCCCCAGTGCCAGACCTAGAGAGCAGGGAGTCAGGGCTCCAAACAGTGCGGGACCCTCCCCCTGCCCCCACCCACACCACATTTCATGCCCCACCCTGTGCCCCCAGCCAGGTGAGCGACCTGTCAGGTGGAACAACTCTTCCCAAAGCAAACTTTGCACAAGCCGAGTTGCCCTGGGCTCTTCCTGACATTTAATGCCAATCTCCTTCCCCTGCCTCGTTTGCATGTTCCCAGCCCAGGGGGTGCCCCCTGCCAGATTCTTCTCTCCCGCTTCTCAGGGGCCTCTGGACTAGGGGAAGGTGAGCTTCCTCTTCCCTCAGGATCACTCCTTCCAGGCCAGGGGCTCTGGTGGGGGCCTAATGGACCAGAGCCCACCCCGGGCTGTAGAAAGGAGTAATGAGGTTTCTCTGGGCACCACCAGAATCGAAGGGGCCCTTCCTTTTCCCTCCAGCTCTGGGGTTGAGGAGAAGGGTCTGGGAGTGACAGTCTGGGTTAGGGTCCCAGCACCTGGGATTGGTGACAGGGGTGGGGCCCAGGTCTCTGCTCTTGGGGCAGCGAGTTGGTCTGAGGGTTGCTGAGATCCAGCTCTTCCTGCCTCTGACTTCCATTCCAAGTCAGGCTGACGGGCAAGATGGAGGTCATGGGGTCATAGACTCCAGACAGTGTCTGGGCCAGAAAAGCTCTGGGAGGTGACTTACCCAGTGGGAGAACAGAGGAGGAGACTGAGGCCCAGAGGGGACCAGGGGCTGCCCAGGGCCTTACATATGGTGGGAACAGGGCAGAATATGAATCCACATCTCCAGATGCTGAGGCCTCGAGTTCTTTCCAGACCACACACCCTTTGGAGCAAACCCAAATACAGGGGTGACCTTGGGGCTGAGGTGGGTCCCTGTACCTCCAGGCTTCAGGCATCGGTGCCACCCAGAGCCCCCCAGTGCGACTTTCGTGGGGCTGGGGTTTTCTAGGGCTGGGCCCGCAGGTAGCCTGAGCGAGGCGACAGGGGTGGTCAGCAGGGGTGATCCTAGAGGTCGGAAAATGCCAAGTCATCAGCACCATCTGGAAAGAGGGCACCTTGAGTTCCAATCCCTGCCGGGTCACCATGGACACGTGCCCTGAGGCAGCCACCGCCCCCTGCCTGTCAGGTGGGAATAATCCTGGCTGCGCCACTGCCCCAGAAGACAGTGGGAGAGCCCAAGCAGTTTATTTAGTTGGACTTCACCTTGTCCCTGGAAGAGTTGGAGGCGATGTCAGTGGCGGGGTGTGTGTGGGGGGGATTGGGGGGGTTGGATGCCTATGGTACCCACACCACGGGAGCAAATGGGAGACAGTGCTGGTACAAACATGCCTTCAGGCTCCTGGCTGCCCCTGGGAACTGTGGGCAAAGCAGACCTGACCATAATTCCTTGATGTTCCCCGACTCGTTTGTTTCCTGTCCCCCATCCTCCTGCTACCTGGCCCTGTTCCCTAACTCCCTATTCCCAAGTCTCCCTGGGCCCGTGGGCTGGCTCCCCAAGTTAAATCTTCCCAAGTTGAACCTTTGCTCCTGCTAATTAGATACAGCTAGTTTCTTTTTTTTTTTTTTTCTTTTTTGCCCGTGCCGCGCGGCATGTGGGATCTTAGTTCCCTGACCAGGGATCAAACCCGCGCCCTCAGCAATGAAAGCGTGGAGTCCTAACCACTGGACCGCCAGGGAATTCCCTGGATCCAGCTAGTATGAAGAGCAGTTTCAAAGGACAAGGGAGCTGGGTTTTCATGGGGGGGGGGGGCAGGAATTGTCCAAGGAGCAGTGAGCGGGCTGGAGGGGGAGTAGCAGTGTGGGAAGGGAATGTCTAGGGGAGCAAGGAAGGGAAGGGCCAGAGGCAGGGAGGGTTCAAGGAAGCTAGACAGGTGCAGGCAAGCCCAGGGCACTGGATTGGGCAGGCCCGGCTTCTCTCCAAGGTGCTGACCAACTGACTGGGGGCTGGGGGGACAGGCCTCTGTGGCCCCTGCCCACTCTGCATGGCTCCTGGCCAGGTCCTGATCGCACCCCCAAAGCCCCCTGATTCCGACCCATGAATGCAGGCCCAGAGGTTTGGAGGGAGGGAGGGAAGGGCTGCCAGCAGTGGGGAAACTGGAGGAGGTCTGCCCCCAGTTGGTGGAGTAGGCGTCTCTCGGCAGAGTGGCAGCTTCTGTCTCACCCTAGTCCCAGCCTCTCGCCCTCAGCGCTCTTCTCACGGGGCCTGCAGCTGGGGTGCTGGGCTCTGGGGGCAGGAATTGTCCAAGGAGCAGTGAGCGGGCTGGAGGGGGAGTAGCAGTGTGGGAAGGGAATGTCTAGGGGAGCAAGGAAGGCTGAGGCCAGAGGCAGGGAGGGTTCAAGGAAGCTAGACAGGTGCAGGCAAGCCCAGGGCACTGGATTGGGCAGGCCCGGCTTCTCTCCAAGGTGCTGACCAACTGACTGGGGGCTGGGGGGACAGGCCTCTGTGGCCCCTGCCCACTCTGCATGGCTCCTGGCCAGGTCCTGATCGCACCCCCAAAGCCCCCTGATTCCGACCCATGAATGCAGGCCCAGAGGTTTGGAGGGAGGGAGGGAAGGGCTGCCAGCAGTGGGGAAACTGGAGGAGGTCTGCCCCCAGTTGGTGGAGTAGGCGTCTCTCGGCAGAGTGGCAGCTTCTGTCTCACCCTAGTCCCAGCCTCTCGCCCTCAGCGCTCTTCTCACGGGGCCTGCAGCTGGGGTGCTGGGCTCTGGGCAGACTAAGGTTGTGTCTCAGGATTGAGGTGGGGGCTCAGGCATATTGACCCTACCCACCACCCCCTTGGGGGTAAGATCTGAGCCTGGATTGAGCAGGACGTGAGAGACAGGCTCCAACCCCATGACAGCCCAGGGCCTTAGTAAAGACTCTGGTAACTCCATTTACCTGGGGCTGTGGTTTCAGGAGATATCTGAGCATCTTTTGCATGTCAGGATGGGAGTGAGAACCGGGAGGCTGGGGAGTTGCCTCCCGAGGGGCAGGAAACAGTTGCTGTAAGTCTCTAACTTTGGGTCCCTCTGCCTACTCTCCTTGCTCTGCCTTCCTGGGAGAATGCGAGGCACTGAAAAGAAGCAGCCCAGGTGGCTAATCCCTCTGGCTGCTACCCTGCGAATCTGCCCCGTTTCTGGGCCTTGGCCTCCGCCAGCTGTTATCAAATTTCTTTGTCTGGAGTCAGAGCCAGTGCCTCTGAGGCAGGAGGGAGGCAGGACATGCTGAGCCTTAATCCAGACACGTGGCTTAATCCAGAAAAGATCAGCTCGAGGTTTGGGAGCTGGAGCCATCGCTCAGGAGACAGGCAGCCCCTTGGGGCCAGAGGCTGTCGGGAGGGACCTGGACCTGGCAAAGCCTGGGCTTGTCCCAGGACCCTAGGCCTATGGTGCAGTGGTCCTGGCTCTGCTGTGTGACTGTGGACACACATCCCTGCCACTCTCTGAGCCTTATTTTCCCAGGGCACATGTGTCCCCATGGGTAAACAATCACCCATGAATGTAATCATGGCTGAATTGCATGGCACAGATGGGGAGAGCTGGAAAGTCAGAGGAGAAAGCTGCTGGGGACGGCTCCCTGGGGGAGGAGGGCTTTGGGCTAAACTGTGATGAGAAGGAAGGGGCATCTTGGGCAGGGGGACGACAAAACAAGAGAAAATAGCCGTGTCATGCCCACAGCACAGGGCCCAAGGGGGAAGCACCGTTCTCATCAGAGCCTGCATATGTGGTCACCATGTTGATCTCTGGTTCTGGTCCAGACCCTGCCCCTAACCACTGAATACATCTGTTTCCCGCTCTGGCCTTCATTGTTCCCATCTATAGGGATCACATAGTATACGGTCCCTTCCAGCTCTGATTATCTGGCTCATTGGTAGGCGCCAGACACTAGGATCAGGCAGGGCAGGCGGGGAATGATGGGAGGTTCTAGAGCCCAGGGGTGCCTGATGAAAGGGTTTTGGAGGGAAATGAACTTGACAGTGCAGTGGAGTGAGCAGTTAGGAGGCGGGCATGAACTTTGGAGGATGAAGCTGCCTGATCAGGAGGTGGGCAGGACCCTGGGAAGATGGGACCGTCCGGAGCCTCAGAGGGAATGTGGTACAATGAGCAGAGCCCACACGTGGCCAGCTGGGGACCTTGGGCAAAAGCTGCACAACCTCTCTGAGCCTCACAGTCCACATCTATAAAACAGGGCTCTCGAGTCCCCTGTGGGTAGTGAAAGGGTAACATGTACCAACGCTCTGGGCCCAGGAGGTGCTCCCCATGTGTTCTCTTCCCTCCCAAGTGCAGTCCTAGAGCCTGGAGGAGGTGCCAGGGATGCAGCCCCTGGTTCCCTGATCAGTAAACCCAGGCCCCCCACGCTGGGCTGCCAGGGTCTGAGCCTTCTGCACCACCTCCCCACCTGCGGGCAATCGGCTCTTGCCTCCTGCCGCCTGGTTAATCATTAACTTTTTTTTCACTAGGTAGGTGTTGGAGCTGGGACCAAACCTTGGTTGAGAGCAGGTTCCTTGGCGTTTAGGAGCAAGGTGACGGGGAGCTGGAATGTGGGTTGTGGAGGAGGAGGTGGGAGTTCTCTGCTGGTGAAGGAGCCCCGGGCCAGGAGCCGGAAGTTGTTTAGTTCTCTGCACCATAACTTCCCCACCACAGCGTAGGAATGAGCCTAAGGCCTGAGCTGCCGCTCTCCCGGGAGGGAACGAAGGCGAGGGCTTCAAAGCTCACTTGACAAATGTGTCAGGGATGTGTCATCACGTCCCCACCTGGCAAATGCTGCCACCTGCCCTGCCCATTCATCCTCACTGACCCCTCACACCACTGTGTCCCGAAACACAGCAGCTGCCTCCCATCCTACCTGTGGCCGAGGCCAAGCAAACAGGAGGGCCACGAGGGAAGCAAGTTCCCCTGCTTCTTGGGAAAGGTTCCGTCTCCCTGGCACCCGGCCCAAGGTGTTGGCAGGGACTGTCCTAACGTGGCAGGCCGGGGAGTTCTGGGGACGTGGATGGGGCGGGAAGCAGGAAGGGGGTGATGAGGGAAGGGTGGGGTTGAGAGGGGTTCTCCAGGGGTGGGGCCACCCAGGGGGTAGGGTGTGGGCACAGGCTGGGGCGGGGACCCAGGGATAGAGCGGGCTGTTGGCTCTGCCTGGGTAAATAATGTGGACCCACAGCACACACGTGTGTTTGCACAGAAGGATTTGAAATGATTCCAGGCCTGCCCTCTGTCCCCCGCAAGCCCGACTCCCCTATCCCTGCCCGCCCCACCCCACCCTGACCTCTCCTTCCTTGTCACTTAAAGTAGCCCTTGAAAGGGAAATGCAAAATGAAAGTGAACAAACACTCTTCTCTCTTTCTTGCGTTCTCTCCGCCACGGAAAAGCAGGGCCGCCATGTACAGTTGGGAAGGTTGGGCACTGCACAAGATGGGGGACAAGGGTGAGCTGAAGTTCCACTTGGGCTCCATTCACCAAGCCACGCCACCCAGAGAGAAAAGGGCATCATTTTCTGAGTTGTATGCAATTGCATTAGCTGCAGCCCTAGAGAAGCCAGAGCCTTCCAAACGGGGTTCTCTCTCTGCCTCACCTGCACGTTGAGGCTGAGCAAGTCAGTCTCACGAGGTGACTGGAGAAGGGCCAGGGAGCCCCCGCCCCATGGTCCTGGTGCAGCGCAGCAAATCCCACCATTAGAGAGTCTACCAGTCCTTCCAGTAAAGCCTACCCCTCTTACTGGCCAGATGCCTTCAAAGCAGCAATTTGCAAACTTGAACACTCATCAGAATCACCCAACGGACCTGTAGAAACGCATTGCTAGGAATTCCCTGGCGGTACAGTGGTTAGGACTCTGTGCTTCCATGGCAGGGGGCCCAGGTTCAATGATCAGGGAACGAAGTTCCCACAAGCAGTGCGGAGCAGCCAAAAAGAAAAAGAAAAAAAAGAAAGAAAGGCATTGCTGGGCCTCCCCCTGCCCTACTTTCCCCACCCCCCGAGCTTCTGATTCAGTTGCTCTGATGAGGGCCTAAGAATTCAAGTTCCTCAAAAGTTCCTAGGTGGTGCTGATGCGGCTGGTCCCAGCACCACATTTTGAGAACACCGTTTAAAATGTAAATACCCCCAAGAAAGGACACACATTAACTTGCCCTTAACAGGTTTATCTGCTCCTTTCCTCCTTTCGGAATGATCCCCTGTATTATGGGGAACATATGTTGTTGGTAATCTTCCACCTCTGTCCTGATTTATTCTTGAGTTTTGAGCCCACAAATCATGGAAATATCCCAGGGACCCCAGTTCTTTGGTGTATGTACATCTCGCAAGTTCCCTGCCTCACCCAAACCACGGACTCCAATATGGGGCTCAGAGAAAAGGGTCCAGGGGAAGCAGAGCCTGGGGACCCATGGGGAGGGACACTGTAGTTCCTCGTGTTGAGGCCAAATGGTGCCCCTTGGGAGGCATTGGGGCCGCAGGTAGGAGTGGGGTCTGACTTGCTGAGGGACTCATTTGTCCCCCAGGGCCTGGGCCTTCTGACCAGCCCCTGCAGCTGTGGGGAAAGTGGGCCTGTAGGTCTGCACCTGGCACCTCCCACCTTGGGAGCTGTGAGTTCTTCTGGGCGTGAGGGGAGAGAAGAGGGCCTGGGAGCTGGGAGGGGCTGGGGAAGCACCTTTCAGGAAAGGACAAGGAGGGTGGGTGCCAGGAACCCAGCCCTGAGTAGGGGCGGGGCCAAGCACACCTGTATGTTGTTATTCAGTGACCACCTCAGCAGCAATAGGCCGGGAATTTATTCGCACCCCCCAAGTGGCCCTGTGGGAGAGGAAGGGGGCCTGCCTCCCCAACCTGGGAGGAGATTCTACCCTGCCACACCCCTCACTTGCTCCTTTCATTCTTCACCGGGCTGGTGGAGATGATGGTGACCTTCTCCCTTCCCTACCCCCTCCAAGGGCAGAGTAAAAGAAAACAAGCTTTGCCACAGCAGAAAAGATTAGGTTAGCTCTTAGAAGGAGCTTCCTCGACAGGACAGGGGACTGGGATCTGGGTGGGGGCCGGCCCAGGGGCAGAGGGCTGGATATTAAAGACTTCTTGTCCAGGCCTCAGTTTGCTCATCTGCCAAATGGGACTAATTGTGCCTTCCATTGTGAGGACTGAAAGAGGTCAAGAACCTCAGAAGATTGTTTTAAACAGGCTACACGTGTAAAGATTTGCTGCTCGCAGCCAACCTGGCTTCCCTGGGGAGTAAGGGAGCTGTCTGTCTCCCACCCCACTGGCTTTCCAGCCACAAGACCTGTCTGCCCAGCCCTGTCCTAGCTGCCCAGTGACCCGGAAGCCCCAACTCTCTCCCAGGCCGAGCCACTGCCCACTGGGCTCCTCATCTCTGTAACCAGCTTAGCAGCCCCCATGGGGATGGGGAAGCAGCCAGGACCTGACTCTCCTTCCTTTTTTATTTCTGTAGACGCAGCCGCCAGCCCAAGCAGCAGTGGCATGGGCAGCGCCAGCCCGGGCCTGAGTGGCGTCCCCCCCAGCCGCCTCCTGCTGCCCCCCGACACTGTGCTATGGACTGGCCTGGAGAAGGTGGCAGTGGGGGCAGGGGCAACGGGGCCCGAGAGATGGGACTGGAGCCCCAGCCCACCTGCCACACCTGAGCAGGGCCTGTCCACCGTCTACCTCTCCTACTTCGACATGCTGTACTCCGAGGACAGCAGCTGGGTGGCCAAGGGCCCCGGGGCCAGCACTCGGGAGGAGCCGCCCGATGAGCCCGAGCAGTGCCCCGTCATCGACAGCCAAGCCCCAGGGGGCAGCCTGGACCTGGCGCCGGGTGGGCTGACCCTGGAGGAGCATTCACTGGAGCAGGTGCAGTCCATGGTGGTGGGCGAGGTGCTCAAGGACATCGAGACGGCCTGCAAGCTGCTCAACATCACGGCAGGTGAGCCCCTCCCCACGCCCCCCTCTGCCAGGGGGACACAGGCCAGCGGAGGTCACAGGGAGGTGTGGGGGCACCGCCTGGTGCACTGTGGTCAGCCCCTAACACACAGCAGCTGCGAGCCTGGGATCCAAGTTACCCACTCTCTCTGTGCCCCAACTGCACCAGCCCAGTGTCCCCGCTTGGTGGGTGCCGGGTGAAGCAAATACGAGCTCTACACCATCTGGCCCACCTCCTTCTCTCACACTTAAATCCACTCTCCCCTTATTCACTCTGCTCCAGCCACTCCTGCCTCTTTGCTCTTACCGCAACACACACACCTCAGGACCTTTGCACTTGCTGGTCCCTCAACCCAGAGCACTCTTCCCCCACACACCTACCTGGCTCACCCCTCACCTCCTTCAGGTCTTGATTCAAATGGCACCATCTCGATGAGGCCTTTCCTGACCCCTCTATTGAAATTGCTGCCCATACCCCCACGTCTTATTCCTCCAACCTGCTTTATTTCTCTCATGTTTCCTACCGTCTGATATGCTGCATATTTATCTTGTTTACTGACTGTTTCCCCTACTGGAATGTACATGCCCCAAGGGCATGGATTTTCATTTGTTTTGTTCACTGCTACATCCCCAGTTCCTAGGATGTTACCTTGTACATAATAGATGCTCAATAAACAATAACAATATACCAGGCCCTGTCCTAGCACTGGGGAATTCGGCGTGAATATAGCACAAAGGCTCCTTCGTTCACGAAGCTAATGTTACAGTGACAAAACAGATCATAAATAAATAGGATAATGTATCACTGGTCCAGTGGGGTTGAGGGCTCTGATGAGGGGGGCACATCAGGAGGCCAGGCACGTGTCTGCGAGGGCCTGGAAGGTGTGGTTATGGAGCTTATGCTACTGGTTGAGGGGCTGCTGGGTCTCCACTCCCCTGTCCCTCCATCACCTCTCCAGCTTTGGGCAAGCCTGACCCATCTCCTTGGCCTTTGGGCCCTGGCATCTGAGGCTCCCACACAGGAAGGGTCTTCAGGCATCGCTCAGGCCTGGCTCCTCCTCCTCAGTCACCCAGGCCCAGCCCCTGCCCCCCAGTAGTCCCAGCTGGGGTCCCGCCTTGAGGCAGCTCCTGCCCAGGCCCCATCCTCCAGTGGCCCAATGCCAGCCCCCAACCCGGGAGCTTTTCCCACGGTGCCTCCGCTCCCACACTGAGTTGGGGAGGGCCCTGCCCTCTAAACAATAGGGACAGAAACAAATTGCTTTGACCCTGAGGAAGAAAATAGGTTTATTAAGTGGGGGCAGGCCAGTCTGCAGGTCACCCAGCTTAGACCACAGCGTTCACTTGGAGGCCCCATTGTGTCTGTGCCCGCAGCTTGGCCACCACCCACGTGCCTTGCTGGGCTCACCCCAGGGCAGCTCCCCAGGGAGACTTATAGGACCAAGCCAGCCACTCGCCTCCGGGCCTTGGCCCCATGGCCACCCTGTACCCTGCCACCGCTCCCCCACATTTGGTGCACGTGCACTGAGCAGCTCCCCAGCACCCAGCCCTTTGTTAGGTGTTGGACAAGGGAATGGAACTCTCTCTGTGCCTCAGTTTTCTCATCTGTAAATACAGTGTGGGTGGAGAGTGGGGTTTGTAGAGCTAATTCTTGATTGGGTTTTTCTCTGGTTCTTTGAAGGGTTTGGGGAAGGCAAGAGGCATCTGGGAAAGAAAGAGGCTTGGGTGTTTCTGGTTTAATGTCACTGTCCCCTCCAGGGCTGTGGCTCCCCAAAAGGCCCTTTGGAGGGGCTGGAGGGGTCTGGGAGGACCTGAGGTCCAGGTGAGATGGGGGTGCAGAGGCCCCAGGCTGCCCTGCCCTGAGCCATGTTTGCTTCAAGGGCCCTGGTTCCTTCCTGTCACTGCCCCCTTCTTCGGTACCCCCTCCACGGAGCCCCTCAAGGCCCCATGTGGCCTGGCCTGGCCCCATCCCAGGAGTGCATGGTCCCAGGCCACCGGTTCCCACAGGGGCTCCATCAGGGCAGAGGGGCCACCTTGGGGGTGGTGCCCTCAAGCAGCCTCCAGGGCTGAAGGAGTGTCTCTTGCCCAGACCCCGTGGACTGGAGCCCTGGCAACGTGCAGAAGTGGCTCCTGTGGACGGAGCACCAGTACCGGCTGCCCTCCGTGGGCAAGGCCTTCCAGGAGCTGGGGGGTAAGGAGCTGTGTGCCATGTCGGAGGAGCAGTTCCGCCAGCGCTCGCCCCTGGGCGGGGACGTGCTGCACGCCCACCTGGACATCTGGAAATCAGGTGGGACAGGCATGGGTAGAATGCCCCACCCCCCCACCCCCCCACTGCGGGCTCCAAGCCAGGGACGCCAAGGGGAACAATTAGGTCAGCATGCCTGTCCAGAGGCTACACTCCACTGGGTGGGCAGCCCCTTGTCCCAATCTGGGTTCTGTTCTGAATCCCAACCCCAATGACAGCTGCCTCCCTGGATCCTGGGTGAACTCTCCAGCCCCGACCCACTGCCTACCCTGGTCAAGGCCACAGAACTTAGGACAGGGCACATGGGAATTTAAAAATAGAAGTTAGACTGTGAGGACGCAGGATGTCAGATACTCTAAGTCCTTCTTCGTCGTCCTTTTTAAAATTGTGTGTTTGTTTTGTGTTGTTTTCATTAAAGAAGAAATGAGGTAATAAATGTGCAGGATTTTTTAAAAGACCATCGTGAACAACAGTATACCATGAAGAATAATCCTCCCTCCCACCTACCCCGGCCCTCCAATCCCCCTCCCTAGAGGCAACAACTGTTGCCAGTTTTGTGAGTACCTTGCCAAGGAAAGTCTATGCATATACAAGCAAGAGTAAGTGTGACTTCTACCCCTTTCTAACATGAATAGTACGAGTATCACGCTGTTCTGTACTGAACAGCGTATCTCGGATCTTGTTTCCCATCACTGTCTATACAGCTGCCCCAGTTTTGATGGCTGCATGCCAACCCCTTAATGTCTACTTGGTCTCAATCTTATCAGGCGCCCAGTGTGCCCTGCACAGAGCCGTGCACTTCAGAGGGGTCAGTCCTCGCGCCACGAGTCAAGGCCCCTGCCCCTCAGGACCCAGGGTGAATAAGAGGACAGGTCCCACTCTCATGGCCCAGAAACCAGTGTCCTGCCCCAGCCCAGGCCCCTTGCCGGGGTCTGGCAAGAGCAGTGGACAGTGCCAGGCTATGAGCCAGGTGGTGGTGTGGGCAGAAGCTGGCGGCCTCCGCCTCCCACTGCTTGTCTGGGGAGGGGGTCAGGTGGAGAGCAGGAGGGGATGGTGGTGCTCGGGAAGCTTGGCAGTTGGAGGGCAGGGAATGTTTTTATCATGCTGGGCACCGTGCAGGCTTCACCACCCTGCATCCTTGCGAGACCTGTGAGGGGGTGTCCCAGCCCCATTTCACAGGTGACAGAAGGGAGGCAAAGCAAGGCTTGACTTCCACTCCTCTCTGAACAAGGGGCTGCCTGCAGGGCCTCTAAGGCCCCTCCCAGCTCCGAAATCCTACATTTTCTTCCAGGAGGAGGCTTTGTAAACAGCTGGTCTTCACAGGCTGGCAGGAGGGAGGGAGCCACGGGGGGCCTTCTCTGGCCCCACAGTCCCACCCAAATGCCCTCCTCCTCCCTTGGGGGGGGGTCTCTCTGGTCCCCAACTTCCTCTCCTTGTCCCGCAGCGGCCTGGATGAAAGAGAGGACGTCCCTGGGGGCGATTCACTACTGTGGTGAGTCGGGCAGGGCAGGGAGGTGGCCGGGGCTCTGGGCTCTGGGGGTGGGCTGGGGCAGCCATTGAAGAAGGGGGCTCCCCACTCACCGCCACACTCCCTGGCTGCCCAGCGTCGACCAGCGAAGAGAGCTGGACGGACAGCGAGGTGGACTCGTCCTGTTCCGGGCAGCCCATCCACCTGTGGCAGTTTCTCAAGGAACTGCTGCTGAAGCCACACAGCTATGGCCGCTTCATCCGGTGGCTCAACAAGGAGAAGGGTGAGCAGTGCCAGGGGCAGGAGGGGAGGGGGCTGCTGGGGGCCTGCGGTCCCGCCAGGCGCTGGGCAGGGAGGGTTGGGGGCGGGGCAGAGGGCTGGAGCTGCCCCCACCTTTGCCCTGAATGCCACACACGCACTCTCACTGGACCGGCCCAGGGTCTGTGTGCCTTCTGTGTCCACGCGTGTTCCCCCGCTGGGCTCTGCCTGTTGAAGGTCCCCAGTGACACACAGTGCCTGGGACATAGCAGGGCCTTAAAACTCTGCTGAGAAGCGGACACAGTCTTTACCCTCAAAACATCAGAGCTTGACGGAGGAGACTGATGGGCAACAGAGGTAATATTAGATTTTCAAGTAGCCACAATTCAAAATTTTTTTAAACAGGTGAATTTAATTTTAATAATACATCTCTTTAATCCAATATTATAAATTCGTATAATTTCAACATATAATCGACATAAAAATTATTAATGAGATATTTCCTAAGTCTTTGAAATCTGGTATACATTTTATGCTTACACCTTACTTCAGACCAGCCACATTTCAAGGGCTAAGAGCCACATGTGGCTAGTGGGGACCACATTGGACAGCAACAGGGCTGGATGGTGTGCAGGTGTATGTTTTAGAAAAGGCTCAGAGCCAAGAAACCTGGGTTCTAGGCCCCCTCCTGCCATTAGCAGCTGTGGGCGCCTGGACCCCAGGCTTCTTGTTTGTGAAATGGACTAGATTCATTCATCCAGCAAACCTTCCTTGAGCACCTCCTCTGGTTCCACACTTGCTCAGCCGACATTTATGGAGGGTTACAGTGTCCTGAGGGTGTGGGGAGAATTCAGCGATACCCCATCCTCCAGGGACCTACAGTCTTGTAGGAGAACCAGCAGTGAAATGAGCTGGTGTGCAGAATGTGTTGGGCTGTGATGGGGTCAGCTGTGCCTGGGTCCAGGAGGGCTTCACAGAGGAATGACTCTGGGGCTGAGTGTGGAGCACGGGAAGGGGTTAGGAGGGGTGGAAAAGTTCCTGCACAAGGTGTGGTGATCCCGTGTGTGTATTTGAGACTGAGAGTGAGCCGGTACTCCAGGGAGACTGTCCCATGAGGGCAGGGAGATCAGGGAGGGTGGGGTGGTCTGGGGAGCCTGCCTGGAGAGGGTGTGCTGACCTGGGCTTTGCCAGGTGGTTTAGAATGAGAACTGGGGGTATTAATGAGTAATAGTTCATCCTAAGGGGTAATTCCTTCGGGCTCTGCTCTAAGCGCTTTCTGTACCCACTCAACAACATGGTGATCACTACAACCCTCTCTTACTGACAGGAAAACGGGGTCTCAGACAACTTCTAAAGGTAGAAAATGGCAGAGCCAGGATTCCAACCCAGGTCAGCCTGGCTCCAGATCCACTCTTTCCACCATCTCCTACCAATTAATCCTGCCAGAAAGGGCTGTGTGGGCTCGAAGCGTCTGAGAATCGCAAAGCGGTCTTTCAGGCTCGGGAACTGCACGGGTGACCTTGCCAAATGAGCCGTGTCCGCAGCCCAGAGCCCCGCAGGGCTTCTGCGTAGGGTGTACACACCCCACGCTTAGGAGCAGAGGCTGGCAAGGATCAGGCCCTCAGGGCCTCAAGTCGCCAACCAACGTACGCAGGTTCACCCTGCACCAGGAGGTCTGTGAGTCCGTGGTAGGATTTACCACTTCCTGGACCCTGTGGAACACCCTTCCCACATGTTCCTTTAACCCTCACCACAACCATGGGAGAAGGTATCGTGGCTCAGCGCCTGGCCCTACCCCGGGCGACTCTAGCTCCCCTGGCTGCGAGAGACTGACCTGCTGGTCTTGGTCTTTCTCCTTCCTGCCGCCCCGCCTGCACTGCTGACTCTCTCTGGGCCCTCCTGCTGCCCCAGGCATCTTCAAAATCGAGGACTCCGCACAGGTGGCCCGGCTGTGGGGCATCCGCAAGAACCGCCCCGCCATGAACTACGACAAGCTGAGCCGCTCCATCCGCCAGTATTATAAGAAGGGCATCATCCGCAAGCCGGACATCTCCCAGCGCCTGGTCTACCAGTTCGTGCACCCCATCTGAGTGCTGCGGCCAGGCCCTGGGCCCGAACCTTGCCCTCACCAGACCTCCTCCTGCCTGCCCTGCCTCAGCCAGACCCTGAGCTGGGGGACAGGGCAGTCTGCTGGCATCCGGAGTTCAAGGTCAGGGAGGGGATGGCCCCTCACTCCACGGGTGTCAGTGAGCTCTCTGGGGCCTGAGGGACCCCGGGGTGGGCGTGCTTTCTCCTTGGGCCTGACTGCTCCTGCGCCCAGTCCACTGGAGGACGGGGGAAGCCAGGGCTGTTCTCAGTGTTCATGGCACCCCAGGGAAGGCCCTCCCTGCACCCAGCCTCTGACCCCAGAAGTTCCAGAGCAGATCCAACAGAACGGCAGTGACTTGGCCAAGGCCACTCGCAGTCCAGTGCCCTCTGCCACCCATTCTTTACCGTGCCTGGCATGGTGCGGGGACATCTACACTCCCAAGTTGGGAAGCCAGGGGTGCCCTGGGGATGGATAATAAAGATACTAGAGAATTGACATGGCCCCAGTGTCCTACGTGCGGTGAGGGAGTGGCACAGCCTGGAGGCCATCAATGCTCAAAAGGTTGTGGTCACAGGGGCCTGGGGTGGTCAAGGGAGGCTTCCTGGGGGAGGTGGCATTGAGCTGAGCCTAAAAGGAAAGGGGCAGTTGATTGGTAAAAGCAGTGGGAGAGAGGCAGTGAGTCTTCAAGGCCAACGAGGGGCTGGACTGGCCCTCATCTCCCCTGACATGGTGTCAGCTGGAAGGAGGGCGTGGGCTGGGGCTGAAAAGGGTCTACGGCAGGACTGGAGAGATGGTGGCGTCCTTCCCATCCTCCTGCTCTGCTGTAGATCAGGACTTTCCCCTGGGGTGGGCCGAGGGCTGCCCCTCTTGTGAGGGGGTCCACAGCCCTTGCCTCTTCTTGGCCAACTGAAGGGGCTCTGGGCTGGGCAGCAGGGCTGTGGGAGAGGATGGGGACTTCAGTCTTCCTCACGGGAGACTGGCTCTGCAGCAAACGAGAGTGGAAGAGAGGTTGGCTTGCTGGCAATTTCTCTCTTGAGAGAAGCCACAGACCTCCTCAGGGGCCCTGAAGCTGTGAGCCCTGCAAGCTAGGTGTGAGGGACCAGGGCTCCTGATGGGAAAAAGGGGTGGGTCTGAGTGTTCATTTGTGTGCTGAGGGAGATGGAACCCACCGCCTTCTTTCCTGGGCAAAGCAACTCGGCTTCCTCATGCTCCCCTCACGTTTGTTCATCCAGCTCAGCTGACCCGAGGGCCGACTAGGCAGCCAGGTGCTTCCACTGCTTTTTGTCATTAACCTTCCCAATAAAACTGTGAGGTAAGGGTCACCCCCCCCACACACACGCTACTTTGCAGCTGATGAAACTGAGGCTCAGAGCAGTTAAGTGCTCGCTCACAGTCACACAGCCAATCAGCAGCAGAACCAAGAACTGAACCCACAAGGACAGGGCTCTCCCTGTCCCTCCATATGCCTCCTGCTCTGTCAGCGCCCTCAGCCTCTGTAACGCTTAGCTTCTGACGACAGGCTTCCAGGAGGCAGCCCAGCGCCACCCAGACCACTGAGGGTTAAATACTGCCCTGTACTGCACCTTCTGCCCTCAGCAATTTTATTGTCTCCAGAAGAAAGTTTACTCCTGGCAGTGAGCAAACAGCACCTTGGCATCTGTCAGCTGGGACTGCACTGGGAGGAGGAGGAGGCCCTGCCCCAGGCCAGTGCCTCGCTGGGGCCCTGCTGTCTGCCCACCCCCGGCGAGGGGGCAGACCGGGCCCTGGCCAGAACCCAGCTCGGCTCTGCTGAACTGCTGAACTGGTTTTGTCTCCAGCCTGCCCACCCTGCCCCCAAGTCCCTGGAACCACCTGCTTGCACGTCCCCAGCTGGGCCTGGGCCTGGAGAGGCCTCGGGTCGCAGGGCTGGGAGGGAGGGAGGAGATTAGGGCCGAGGAGTGGGGAGCTGGAGTTGCTCCAGGACGCGGAGCTGCGGGGGGCTTGGGTGGGGCAGCTCCCTGCTGTGTGGATCTGCACGGGGCACAGAGGCACACACCCATCCAGTGACACCTCCTGTGCTGGCAGCAAACTCCGGAATCCCTTTTCTCCTTCACACACCTGCCTGTCAGAACTCCATCTAGCCTAGGTACTCCCTGACCTTCTGCAGGGGAGCCTGCCTCCAGGGCTCCCCATAACTGCATGGAACAGCCTGTCCAAATAAGGCAAACTTTTATCTTTACTTGAAGAGTCCTCTGGCTAAAACCAGGGGTTTGGCCCTGGAGGTGGATCTGGGGGATGAAGAATATGGGGGAGAGAACAAATCCAATCCCCAAATGGACCTTTTCTCCCTGCCCTGAGCATGCCCCGAGGCTGGGGGAAAACAGTATGGGTGAGGGGACTATAGTATATTTACCTTGAACGAGGGTTTGTATCAGGACCCTGTCAGGCTGTCAAGGCCAGAAGGGCCTCAGAGAGACATCTAACCAGACAGGGGAGGCTGAGACCTGGGGTGGGGACACAGTGACCTGATGGCAGGACTGGGACAGGGACTCCTGCCCTGCCCCAGAGGGGATGTGGCCGGAGTGGGGAGGCTGGAGCAGGGGCTGGGACTGGAGCTGGAGCTGAATCTGGGCTGGGGGCTGAGCCCAGGGCATAACAGAGTTAGAAGCCCAGAGCCCCTGTCCTGCCCCACAAGGGGCCCCACACAGAAGTGCTGTCAGAGGTCAGGCAGGACACAGGAAAGTGTGGCATGGCCTGATGTCACACCACAGGGACCCGGGACTGTGAACAGCCAGAAGCCACAGGCCTCAGCGGCCACTTTTAGAATTTTGCTTTAAAAATGGAAACCTGGGCTTCCCTGGTGGCGCAGTGGTTGAGAATCTGCCTGCCAATGCAGGGGACACGGGTTCGAGCCCTGGTCTGGGAAGATCCCACATGCCGCGGAGCAACTGGGCCCGTGGGCCACAACTGCTGAGCCTGCGCGTCTAGAGCCTGTGCTCCACAACAAGAGAGGCCGCGACAGTCAGAGGCCCGCGCACCGCAATGAACAGTGGCCCCCACTCGCCGCCAACTAGAGAAAGCCCTTCCTTGCACAGAAATGAAGACCCAACACAGCAAAAATAAATTAATTAAATAAAAATTAAAAAAATAAAAATGGAAACCTATTTAGGGGTCAAATTCATCCTTGAACCATGAGTTTGGGACCCCGGATGCCCCAGGTCTCCTGGTCAGTGCTCATCACCAGGCACCCGGGATTCTAAAGGCCACAGCCTTGGAGCCTTAGAGAGCATCAGGTGTGACCTTCCCTGTACAGACAGGACCCGGGGCCCTGGAAGGTGAAGGGACCAGCCCTCAGGCCCTCAGGCCCCCAGCCCGTGGTGGTGGCCAGGACAGCACCCAGAGTGCTCCCCAACAGACGTCCAACCGCAGGCAACTCTCAGAGCGCTCGCAAGACACACAAGACTCAGGATGACAACGTCCAGCCAGGTTGACACAGTTCTGGATTTTATCCACAGTCATACAGTCACAACTTATATATATATATATTTGTATTTATATACCTTTAAATTACACAATCATGTACAAAACGGGTGCATTGCTGAGACCACAGCACTTTTTGGAGTTTCACAGGTGTTGGACTAATGGAGTCAGGAAGCCTAGGGTGGCAGGCGGTGGGGCAGCCCCGGCTCCTCGCAGAGCCAGGCCGCAGAAAGGGCGCTTAACTGGGGACAAAACACGGTACACGCTGAGCCCCGCAGGGCGCCCTGCGCAGCATCCAGGGGGCGGACGGGGGCTACAGGAGGCGGTGGGCGTTGAGTGCCTGACACCAGCACTGACAGGTGGGGCTCAGGGGTACTTCCGGGTGGGAGACCCTCCTGCCCTGGGGTCCTGAGGAGTCTGGGGACTGAGAGGGAGTGGTCCCCAACAGGGCCGTGGAGGTGGTTGCTCAGAAGGAATGGGTTTCGAGTCCCTGCCCCGGAGTGGGCTGCTAGAGTGCTGAGGGGGACAGGCCTGGGGTCCAGCCAGGGCCACAGCCCCTCCCCAGGTACCAGGAAGCCGCGGGCACAGAGAGGGGGAGCCCAGGCCCAAGGTGCAGATGTGCTCACTTCCTGCCTTCCAAGGGGCAGAGGCCTCCAACCCCAACTCCTGCCCTTGGGGAGAGGCTGAAGAGGCTTTTGTTCTGGAGTCCGGAGGCCTGAGGCTTCCGAAATCTTACTTCAGGCTCTGAGGGGCCTAGGGCACATCTCAGGCTGCAGCAGAGGCCCAGAAAGCAGACAGTAACAAGAACAGGGGTGCTGAGAGGGGAGTCTGCCCGACCCTGGGGGTGCCATTGTCCCCAAACCCCCAACTCCCCTGGCCCCAAGGGAGGCCTGCACCAGCTCAGGCCCCTGTGACTCTGCCCAGGTCCTCACATGACCAGGCTCAGGGTCTTGAGGCTGGGGTCTGCGACCTCCTGAGTGGGCTACTGGGAGAAGCACGGAGCAAAAGAGGACGGAGGCTGATGGAGGGGCTGGGGTATCACACTGTCTTTACCTGGAGGCCCGGGGTCCAGGTGCTGCTGGAGCTGAGCGGGTAGGGTGTCTGCAGGCCCGAAGCTCAGAAGTGGCATCAGCTGTGAGCAGTAACCTCACCTGGTGCTGCAGGAAGCCTCAAGGCCTCACCCCGGAGGTTCTCGAGACACTCCTCTTCCCATCATTCCCCTACCTCATTGGGTCTTGTCCTGCCCTGGTCGGCTTCTCAAGCACCCTTGCCCCACTCCTATGGGCAAGGCTGGTTGGTACCTGGTACGAATACCTGGTAATCCAGCACCACTTCCTTTCACCAACCACAGGAAACACTCCTGCTCTTGCAGAAGGCCCTTTGCCTCCTCCCACCCACAAAAGTCCTTTAACTGAGACCCACGCTTGGAGAGATGGAGGGGCTGCCAGGGGCTGGGGTTGGGCGAGAGGGGACAAGGAAGAAAGACCTGGCTACTGTCCTGCTCCTGAGGCCGGGGCTCCTCCCTCCTGCAAACGCATGCCTCTCCCATTGGCCACAGGCACCGGGTCCCCAGTGCCTCCCCAGGCAGGCCAGAGCAGGGGAGAGAGGCATGGGAGGCCAGCTTAGCCCAGTGGTTATACAGTTTTAGATGGACATGGAGGGAGGGAGGGAGGCAGAGAGGGCAAGAGGCCCTCCTCCCCGGAGGCTGCTACTGTCGTTGGCTTTGCGCTGGGCTTTGGGGCCCCTCCCCACGGCCTGAGGCCTTACGAGAGCAGGGCGGGGTCCGAGGGAGAGCCTGTGCCGGAAGTACTGACAGCTGCAAAGAAGGACCCCAGCAGGGTCCTGGTCCTTGCACTGAGCCTGCTCCCCGTTTACTCACCCTCCTACACCCCAGTCACACTGTCACCAACTCCAACTCACCCCTCTTCATGTCCTGGGGAGTCTAGGGACGCCTGGAAAGCTCTATGGGAGAAGAGAGTGACTATCCCCCCTCCAGCCCCACCAGTCCTGAGGGGCGAGGCTGGGAGAAGGGTACT